CCTACTTGGCAGAGGCTGCCAAGAAGCGGCTCGAGGCGAAGATGCACTACACCTGCTACGACAAGCCCACGCGCGCGGTCATCAGCGTGCCTTGGGGTCTAGGGTTTTGGGTTTAGGGCTTAGGTTTAGGGTTTAGGGTTTAGGGACGGAGATGGGGTTCACAGACTTGCATCCAACCGTTGCAAGATTCACCGTTTTGGGTAGTTTATGCGGTAGGTGTTTTGTTGTTGTTAAAGACCCAACACCCTAAACTTCGAAGACCCTTCGAACCCTAAACCCCTAAACCCTAAACCCTAGAGCCCTAAACCCTAAAACGTTGTAAACCCTAAACCCCTGAACCCCTAAGCCCCGAAACCCTAAATCCTAAACCCTAAACCCCAAACCTCCAAACCCTAAACCCTAAACCCTAAACCCCAAACCCTAAACCCCAAACCCTAAACCCTAAACCCCAAACCCTAAACCCCAAACCCTAAACCCCAAACCCTGAAACCCTAAAAGCCCCATGTCGAGCCAGATCTTCGTCATTCTGGGCTCGGCGGCACTGGGCGGGCTGGTGTTCAAGTATGCGGGCGGAGAGGACCGGTCCAGGGGGGGGTTTAGGGGCTTAGGGGTATAGAGGTTTAGTGTTTAGGGGTTTAGGGTTTAGGGTTTAGGGTTTAGGGTTTAGGGGTTTAGGGTTTAGGGTTTAGGGTTTTAGGGTTTAGGGTTTAGGGTGCAAGGTTTTGGAGGTTCAGGGTTTGTGGTTTGGGGTTTGGGGGTTTAGGGTTTGGGGTTCAGGGTTCCAGGGTGCAAGGGTTCAAGGGTTCGAGGTCTGGGGTTAGCCTCTCAGTGTGAGCTTGCAGGCCTACTTAGTTGTACTTTAAGGTATGGGGTACAATACTACGGGGTTTGCGCAGTCATAGGTTTGGCTTGGAGTTTAGGGGACAGAGGCTGGGTTGTAGTTGTAGCTCACCCAAAACAGTAGGGGGTTTAGGGTTTGGGGTCTTAAGGGTTAGAGCCATAGCAGAGGGAGCTTCAGATCTTAGATCCTTCGATGCAACAGTCTTTGCTCTTTGGGTCAGAGTTGCAAGTTCAAGGAAACCCTAAATCCTAAACCCTAAACCCTAAATCCTAAACCCTAAACCCCAAACCCTACCCCGACTGTGGTTCAGAGGATCATCCGCGGGAACTTCAAGTAGGGTTTAGGGTTTAGGGTTTAGGGATGTTTAGGGTTTAGTTTTTTGCAGAGGTTGACTCTGGCCGGTTTAGTAAAGCATGTTGGTGTTCTGGGCTTTAAACCCTGCTCGGAGGATCATGGTACTCATTGACCAAGTATCACTGTACTCATACCTGTACGTATGGCCATATTGGGGCACTTAAGGGGCTTATAAGTGGGTTAAAAGTACAGTTCTAATTGCTAAATAAGTACCATGAACCTCCAAGTAAGCCCCAAATGTCTTTCCCGTTCCTCTCCTGGGCTACTGGGGAGCCTAGTTTCTTGCCCCCAAGCCCTAAACCCTAAACCCCAACCCGAAACCCTCAACCCTCAACCCTCAACCCTAAACCCTAAACCCTCAACCCTTTAATCCCTAAACCCTAAACCCGGTCCGCCCTCGACTAAGGGGACCAAGGGGACCGGTAAGCCGAGGGAGCTTGGCTACGCTACATACACGTAGTAGCTGAGTGAGTACACTTTACACTTGTTTGGGACATTATAACCCCCTATAAAACTGAAAGTGTACACGGCTTATGAACCCAGCAACCAAGAACACATAAGTTGAGTTTGAGAACGGCTGTATCTCAAGCTCCCACCGAACCCTGACCACCTCGTAGGTGAACAACAATCAAAGTAATATACCCCAAACCTTGAAGTTGACAATGCCTAGCGAGAGTTTACTTCAGAGCTTGGGTCAGGGTTTAGTGTCAGAGTTTGGGTTCGGAGTTTACAATTTGGAGTCAGAGTTTGGGGTCAGAGTTTGGGTCAGACTTCCAGACTTTCGGGTCAGACTTCGGAGTCAGAGTTTGGTGCGGGCTAGCAACCCGCGCTTAAGAGAACCCTACACCCTAAACCCTAAAGCCTAAACCCTAAACCCTGTTTAGGGTCAGAGTTCGAACTTGGCTTGGCTGCTTTGGGCCCGGATGATTGCAGCTTGGTGGCTTATGAGTTGGGGGTCGACTGGCGGGGCTGACACGCACGTGCTGCGCATGTGTTGCCTCTACACCAACACACTCGCAGCAACTACGCGAAGCCCCAAACCCCAAGCCCCAAACCCTAAACCCTAAACCCTAAACCCTAAACCCTAAACCCTAAACCCTAAACCCTAAACCCTAAACCCTAAACCCTAACCCCCGAACCTTTAACCCTAAAAACCCTAAACCCTTAACCCTGCGAGGACTGGAGCTTCAACGAGGCGCTCTACTTCTCGGCGGCGGGGCCTTCATGTTGCTTCAAGGTTTGGGGGGGTTTAGGGTTTAGGGTTTAGGGTTTAGGGTTTAGGGTTTAGGGTTTAGGGGGGCTTAGGGAAGTTCAGGGGCTTTAGAGGGTTTAGGGGTTTGGGTTGAGCTGGTTTCAGGGTTTTGGGGTACAGGGCTTTCGGGGTGTAGGTCTACGAGCTGTCAGGGCTTAGGGTTCGGGGATAGAGTGCGCTTAGGGTGAGGGTTCAGGGTCTACTGGGTTTAGGGTTTAGGGTTTAGGGTTTAGGGTTTAGGGTTTAGGGTTTAGGGTTTAGGGTTTGGGGTTTAGGGTCTACGGGTCTACGGGTCTACGGGTCTACGGGTCTACGGGTCTACGGGTCTACGGGTCTACGGGTCTACGGGTCTGCGGGTCTGCGGGTCCTACGGGTCCTGCGGGCTACTGTACCCCTAGAACCCGGTTGTGGCTTGAGGGCTCCAGTGTCTGCAACGCACTGGTGGCTGTCCGCCAGTGTTCTATAGGTTCGGGTTTAGGGTTTAGGGTTTAGGGTTTAGGGTTTAGGGTTTAGGGATTTGGACTCCGGCATTTAGGTTTTCTAGTTTTAGGGTTTCTGCTTGACAGAGTTCAGGATGAAAGGATTTGGGGATTGAGGGGTTCTTCTCAATTTTTCGCAACCTGCACGGCTCTAGGTCTAGGGCTCAGGAAAGTGCAGGGGTTGCAAGGTGTAGGAGTGCTCGCGCAATCCTAGGTTCTTGGGGTGCCGTAACTTGGGAACCCTAAGCGGGTTTAGGGTTTAGGGCTTAGGGTTTAGGGTTCTTGGTAGCTGAGTGGTGTTGGGGTTGGATTGTGGATTCCCTTGTGCAAGTAGTCAACTCCAAAAAAAGGGTGCCCTTCTTATTCGATATTTTTTGGGGTTTAGGGAGAGTATCCCATACCTGGACCCTAAACCCTAAACCCTAAACCCTAAACCCTAAACCCTAAACCCTAAACCCTAAACCCTAAACCCTAAACCCTAAACCCTAAACCCTAAACCCCAACTCAGGTGGTCACCATGACCACCGTGGGCTTTGGAGACTTCGCCCCCATTTCAACCAACTTCCAGAAGATCCTGGCCGTGCTCTTCATCATGGTGTCCATCACCCTGCTCCACGGCTTTTCGGCTTTAGGGTTCAGGGTTTAGGGTTTAGGGTAAGAAGGTATCTCTTCATCATGGCGTCCATCACGCGCCACGGTTTAGGGTTTAGGGTTTAGGGTTTAGTGTTTAGGGTTTAGGGTTTAGAGTTTAGGGTTAGGGTTTAGGGCTTAGGGTTTAAGGTTAAGGATAATAAAGTACCTCTTCATCATAGTGTCCATCACCCTGATCCACGGATTTTTGGGTTTAGGGTTTAGGATTTAGGGTTTAGGGCTTAGGGAAAGAAGGTACCTCTTCATCATGGTGTCCATCACCCTGCTCCTGTCCAAAACTAGGTAGGCTCTTGGGACAATTGTTATTTTCCCTCATTGGGTTTAAAACGATCATATTCAGGAATGTTTTGCAAAGGGTTTTACGGGCCCCCAAACCCTTAAACCGCAAAGCCCCTAAAGCCCTAAACCCCCAAAACCCCTAAGCCCCCAACCACCCACCAAAGCCCCTAAACCCTACACCCCTAAGCAAACCCTACACCCCCTCCCTACACCCCTAAAACGCCTAAAACCCTTAAACACTGAACTAAACCTCCCCAAAACCCTAAACCCCCCACTAAACTCCCAAAAACTCCCAAAGCCAACCCCACCACCCCCCCCCCGCCCCCCACCCCACCCCCCCCCCCACCCCCCCCCCCCCCCCCCCCACCCCCCCCCCCCCCCCCCACCCCCCCCCCCCCCCCCCCCCCCCCCCCCACCCCCCCCCCCCCCCCCCCCCACCCCACCCCCCCCCCCCCCCACCCCCCCCCCCACCCCCCCCCCCCCCCCCCCCCCCCCCCACCCCCCCCCCCCCCCCCAAAAAAAAAAAAAACGAAAAACACCAAGCCCCAAAATCCTATTCCACCCAAAGAAAGCCTTTAAACCCCCAAACCCTAAACCCTAAACCGCAAAACCCCTAAACCCCCCCAATGCCCTGAGAAATCAAGGCTGGCAGTGCTTTTCGGCTTCATCAGCGCGGAGGCGCAGAGATTCCTGGGAGGTTCATGGGTGCTTATAATTTATAACCCCCTATGATGGGGTTCAGGGTTTGGCTTTAGGGTTTCTACGTCTACTTATAACCTACTTAGAGGACTTAAGGGCTTATGAGTACATTTATATTCGGGGTTATAAGTACCCTGAACCTCCACGTAGGGTAGCCCAGGCTGACGTCTCCACTGGGGCCTACACCTGATATCGAAGGAAGGGTTTAGGGTTTAGGGTTTGGGGTTTAGGGATTGGGGTTTGGGGTTTAGAGTTTAGGGTTGAAGCCCTGATAGTTTGGGGTTTAGAGGGTTTTAGGGTAGACCCTCCTAAAGCCCTAAGCCCTCCTCCACCCTCAAAGCCTCCGAAGCCCCCAACAACTCGATAGGAGAGCTTAGGCTTCCATTTCAAGCTCTGTCTTCCGAGCGTTTTTGGATTTCTAAGCGGTAGGCCTCCTGGTGCTAGCGTTTGTCGTAGGTACAACTAGACCCAGGAGTAACCTAGAGGAATAAACAGGGTACCCTTTTTGGTTTTATGGGGATTATGAGGGAACTCTACCCTGAACCCTAACACCTGTTTTAAGGGGAGTATAAGGGAACCGCAACCCCAGAAAAAGAAGACAGCTTGGAGGCCCAGACCCTCAGCTGCGAGCCGTCTTGCAGCGGCCAACCGCTTCGGCGGCGCATGGGCGGCCGCTTTCGGTCACTCTTCCAGACAGGAGTGTCGGGTTCAGGGTTTAGGGTTTAGGGTTTAGGGTTTAGGGTTTAGGGTTTAGGGTTTAGGGTTTAGGGTTTAGGGTTTAGGGTTTAGGGTTTAGGGTTTAGGGTTTAGGGTGTAGGGTGTAGGGTTTAGGGTTTAGGGTGTCGGGTTTAGGGTTTAGGGTTTAGGGTTTGGGGGTCTAATGGGTCGGGTTTAGGGTTTCATGGGCAGGGCTTCGGGTTTAGGATTCCGGGTTTCAGGTTTACTATCTTATCTTATCTAATGTTTGGGATATAGGGTTCAGGCTTCAGGACAGGGCCTGGGGGTTTAAGGATTGAAGGTTGACTCCTGCGCTCTACACACTAAACCCTAAACCCTCTAAACCCCAAACCCCTGAACCCCAAACCCTAAACCCTAAACCCTAAACCCTAAACCCCAAACCCTAAACCCTATCAGCCCTAACCCCTCTCAGTAGAGGACTCCACCCTGGCCCATCCCTGCTTCTCCTGCTGCTGCACGCCGTCTGCGGCGCCTTGTTCGTGGCGGTCGAGTCATGGACCGCCAGGGCCTTTTGGGGTTTAGGGGTTAGGGGTTAGGGTTTAGGGTTTGAGGGTTTAGGGGTTGAGGGTTTGGGGGTTTGTTTGGGGGCTTGGGAGTTTGAGGGTTTGGGGGTTTGAGGGGTTTAAGGGGTTTGAGGGGTTTGAGGGTTTGAGTGTTTGAGGGTTTGACGGGTTTGAGGGTTTGAGGGGTTATGGGGGGTTTGAGGGGTTATGTGGGGTTTGAGGGGTTTAGGGGTTTAGGGGTTTTAGGGTTTACGCTTTTAGTTTTTTTGGTCCGAGGGAGAGCACTTGACATAGCTTTGCTTAGAAGTGTTGATGCTAACCTAGAAATTAGTAGAGTAGGTAATTTACTCCCCTTTCAATCCCAAAGGTTAACTTTGACTTCCCCCAGGTTATTGGACAACTAAGCTAAAACAGCTCTTGCGACATAGCCTTGGCTTAGGGTCTGGGACTTGGCTGCGCAGCTTGCAACGGGTCAGAGGGAGGCGAAAGTGGTGTGACTTGAGCCCTAAACCCTAAACCCTAAACCCTAAACCGTAAACCCTAAACCCTAAACCCTAAACCCTAAACCCGAAGAGGCTTATTTGCCCCAAGGGCTCAAGTGCGTGCAAGGTGTACTGAAGACTCACCCTAAACATATCCCCCTATCTGCGCAAAGCATGCCAAGAATGTCCTGGCTAGTATAAGTCCTTACTTGGCCAACAGTTGTTTCTTAAACTTTTGGTTTTCTTTTTGTGCAGAAAGAATAAAGTTTAGCCTTTTTCCTTCTTCTTGCTTCTTGGAGAAGTAAGAATCTCCCTGAGGAGTTTCCTGGACTCCGTCTACTTCACCTCTGTGGCGTTGACGACCGTCGGCTACGGCGACCTCACGCCACAGACGGAAGTGGGGCGGATGATCACCACCGGCCTCGTCCTTACCGGAGTTCCCTCCACGGCTGAATCTCCCACTTCAAGCAGCATGTAAACTGTCGTTTGTTGGTGTAGGGTTTAGAGCTTAGGGTCTAGGGTCTGGGGTTGAGGGCTTGCCTTAACTTCGTCTGGGTGTTGCTTTTGTGTTTCAAAAACCTGCTTGCAGCGTTGTGCTTCGCCTTCGTGCTGAACGCTGGCCGAGGCCCTGGTCACGTCCTTGTCGGGCCGGTTCTCCAGCAGGCTCGTGCGGCGCTTTCAGAAATTGGACGACTGAAACCTCTCTGCCTTCCCGCCCCTTGGCTTGCCAGTCCTTGGTAGGGAACTTGTTTGGTCCGCCCTAATTATATCATATACCGATTTAGGGGAATGAAATTGATAATGCTTGACGTGAAGAAGTATCCTGAGCCAGATTCCCAAATTCAATGTAGGGTTTGAGAGTGCAGGGATAGGGTTTAGGATTTAGGATTTAGGGTTGCGGGTTTAGGGCTCAGGATGAGTTGTGTTGAACACTCGGTGAACCCTGGCGTTGCTAGGTTTTCTTTGACAGGAGGTGAGTGGGCTGGGGGGGGGCGGGGGCTTTAAGTCCCAAACCCTAGGCTTATAAACTCAAAACCTTCAGTCAGGCTTCCTCCACCGACAGGAACCGCCTCACATGCGATGGCTTGGCGGCTTATCCCATGGCCGGGGACCTCTCTGCAAAAGCATTCAACTGAGAATGGGTGACGATGTTTTGTCCCACTGGAAGGGACGACGAGCGCGTCTGGACTGTGCAATGTGCTCTGCTGTTTATCGATCGTGATGAGGACGGTGTGGGTGAAGAAGACGGCGGGCCAGGAATATGCCTAAGGAACCTCTGCCAAATATATAATCCCTTTAAAGAAAGTGTACGGTCATGACGGTGATTTTGTTGAGGGGTTCCTGTAGGCGAATCCTGGTAGAGTGCGCAGAGAGACCCAGAGCGAGATCCCAGCTGCTCGAAAAAAGTTGCGAGCTCTCCCCTTTCTGGGAGGCTCAAAGCCAGCAGGTTTTAGAGTTTAGGTAGGGTTTAGGGTTTGAGGGTTGAGGGTTTTAGGGTTTAGGGTTTGAGGGTTGAGGGTTGAGGGTTTAGGGTTTAGGGTTTAGGGCTAGGGTTTAGGGTTTAGGGTTTAGGGTTTAGAGTATCGGGCTTAGGGGCTGTTGAATCCTGAGCCCTAAGCCCTCCTCAGGCTTTCGCTTTGGCATTCCGCGTCTCGAAGTGTAGGGTTTTTTTGCACTTGAGGCTTAGGGGTCTGCAACTGCCTGCCGACTGCTTTCAAACCCTGAACCCTGAACCCTGAACCCTAAACCCTAAACCCTAAACCCTGAACCCTGAACCCTGAACCCTGGGCCCTAGACAAGGCCAGATCGCCAGTGAGTGCTACTTGGTGTTCTAAGGGATTCTTGGGAATTTTTTTAACTTTTGGGCACTGTAATTCCTAAGAAGCAGCTAAACTTAGTATTTTTGCTAGGGTGCCCATGTTCAGAGACGGTGAGTGTGGGTTGGAGGCCTTTGCAGATCTGGAGTGCTAAACGGTTCAAAGTGGTGGGGTTTAGGAGGCTGACCTGTATTTCAGGCATGTACACCTGCACGGGGGCAGGTTTCAGGGCACAAGGACCCTAACAACCCTAGATGCCCCAAGTAAGCACCCTAAGCAGCCCAAGCACTCCACACTAAGCATGGTAGCCTAAGACCCTCGGACCCCCAAGCACCCTAAGGACCCCTGAGTACCCTATATGGACCCCCAAGCACCCGAAGTACCCTAAGCTCCCTATGTACCCTAAGTACCCTAAACCTGGCAGGCGTCCTCACGAAGGATGACGAGGGCCGCTTCCGCTTCGCCACTCGGCCCAACAGGGGGGTTTAGGGTTTCACGGGTTTAAGGTTTGGAGGGTTTAGGGTTTAGGGTTTAGGGTTTAGGATGGTTCGGAGCTACGGGCTTTGGATATTTTGAGGGGTGTTGAGCGCTTTCAGGGTTCGAAGGTTTGAGGCGGAGGTGGGAGGGGGTGGGGCTGCGGGTCTAAACCCTAGACCCAAAAGCCCTAAACCCCAAACCCTAAACCCTAAACCCCAAACCCTAAACCCTAAACCCTAAACCCTATCACTTTGCGGCTGAGGACGCGCCAGAGGTCGCCCTGATCCCGGAGGAGCAGCCGGGCGTGCGGCTTGGGCGCAGAAGAAGTTGGGTGTATAGGGTTTAGGGTTTGTAGGGCTTAGGGTTAGGTATCTCCTCAACCCTAACCCCCCCCCCCCCCAAACCCTAAACCCGAAACTCCAAACAGCCCTAACCCTAAACCCTAAACCCCCTAAACCCTAAACCCTAAACCCTAAACCCTAAACCCTAAACCCTAAACCCTAAACCCTAAACCCTAAACCCTAAACCCTAAACCCTAAACCCTAAACCCTAAACCCTAAACCCTAAACCCTAAACCCTAAACCCTAAACCCTAAACCCTAAACCCTAAACCCTAGCCCAAAACCCCAAACCCCATGTATCCCCATGGAAGCCACCCAGGACCGCCCCGCTGGGCTTCTTCGACCCTCTGGGCTTCTCGAAGAGCGGCCGCTGAAGCGCGATTTGGGCTGTTTGGGTTCAGGGTTTCGGGTTTAGGGTTTAGGGCTTAGGGTTTAGGATTTCGGGTTTGGGCTTTTTGGGGTTTCGGGTTTAGGGGTTGAGGATTTTGGGGGCTTATAAGCCCTACAGTCTAGGGGTTGAGGAAGTTGGAGCTTATGAGCCCCTACAGGGTCTAGGGCTTCGGGTTGAAGGTCTGCGTGTTTAGGGCCTATAGGGTTTAGGGCTTAGGTCTTGCAAGTTAAGGGTTTGAGAGGCTTAGGGTTCCGGGCTCTTGAGGTTCAGGGCGGCTTCGTAGGCAGGATGTGGGATAGGGCCTTAAGGATCTGAGGGTTTGCGTTTTTTCAGGGTTTCGGTTTTTTCGGCTTGGGGCCCTAAACCCTAAACCCTAAACCCTAAGCCCTAAGCCCCCAAACCCTAACCCTAAACCCTAAACCCGAAACCCTAAACCCTAAACCCTAAGCCCTAAGCCCTAAACCTAAACCCTGAACCCTGAATCCTGAACCCTTTAGAAAGTACATAGCGCAGCAGGGAGCTTAGCATGTGGGTTTCAGCGAATGGACTCTGATGCGTGTATTGGGTTTAGGGTTAGGGTCTGTGCTGCGTGTGAATTCTTGCGGCTCTCTGGGGGTATGGCTTTAGGGCACGAGGTCTCCCAAGAGGGATGGGTCGCAATGCATTTTGATTTGGGCCAGTGTGTATGTGAATGTTCTCGTCATGAATCAGGGGGGATCTGGGGATCATATTGGCAGTTCTGGCGCCTAAAACCCTCTAAAACCCCCTAAAGCCTAGGACTCTTAGGGTAGAACCCTAAACCCTACTTCCTAAACCCTAAACACCCTAAATCCCGAAACCCTAAGACTCTTAGGTTATCAGTCAGCAGGGCAGCTGCTCATTGCTTAGGTTCCCGTGAGCCCAAGCTCTTAGGCCGCAGTGGCTGTTGAAGACCCCCGGGCCGAGCCGCTGCTTATACAAATGTATGAATATATATATATATATATATATATATATATATATATACAAGTACATATATATATATACTGTAGAGAGAGAGATATATATATATATATATAGATATAATCCGGTAAGCACAAAAATAGATATTACATGGACATGTACCTAGATACAGTGTATACTTAATTACATGTGTGTTTGTACACACACAAGGGAACAAAAAAGAGCCGAGCGTTCGACCTAAGGCCTGATGACCTTCCCCGGCGACTCCACCGGCTTCAAGCACCTCCGCGCCGCCGTGCCTTGGTGACCAAGAACCCCCCCCCCCCTACAGGGAGAGAGACAGAGAGAGAGTTAGCGAGAAAAAAAAGAACAAAACAACACGCGCAGAAATGGTACGCATAATCAATACATAAATAAACAAATATATATTTATATATATATATATATATATACAGGAACAACAAATCTTGCTTCTAAGGATAATGTAGGGATTATTTCATGTAATTTGTTGGGGGGCGGGGGCGACTTATGTTTCATCAGTGTATGATGGTTGCGTTGTTTTAAAGTTGGGGTTTCAAGGGATGATGGGGATTTTGGTAGCTTGGCTGAAGGACTTTAGGATTTATGGCTTTTCGGGGGGTGGCATGGAGCACAGGGGCCTAGAAGACTAGAAGTCCATAGGGTTTGGAATCCTCCGAACCTTGGGATCCTCATGTACCCAAAACCCAAAACCCTAAACAACAACCCCTAAACCCTAAACCCTAAACCCTAAACCCTAAACCCTAAACCCTAAACCCTAAACCCTAAACCCTAAACCCTAAATGGGATCCTCGTATGCAAGGAGATCAAGCACGGAAGATTTGCGATGATGGCGGCGGTCGGATCGCTGTACGCCCACTTCTACAAGTGCCTTGGCTGAAGCCCTCAAAACCCTCTTTTGGGGTTTAGGGTTTAGGGTTTAGGGTTTAGGGTTTAGGGTTTAGGGTTTAGGGTTTAGGGTTAGCCTCTAAACGATGAACGCTATTTACAAGCCCAAACCCTCCAAGTCTTGACCCTGAACGGTGCGCCCTAAAACCCTTCTCGTTCGGGGCTTTGAAGGGTTTACCCGCGTAAGCCCGCGAGCTCAAGACGCCCCCGGTTCCCTAAACGCTAAGCCCTCAACCCTAAACCCTAAACCCTAGGCCCTAAACCCTAAACCCTAAACCCTAAACCCTAAACCCTAAACCCTAAACCCTAAACCCTAAACCCTAAACCCTAGACCCTAAACCCTAAACCCTAAACCCTAAACCCTAAACCCTAAACCCTAAACCCCCCCCCCCCCCTGAAGGATTCCGGGCTTCGAGGATGTGCCCACCGGCCTGGCGGCCCTGAGCAATCCCAAGGCCGCTTTTTTTGGCTGGAGTTGTGCACGCCCTAAACCCTAAACCCTAAACCCTAAACCCTAAACCCTAAACCCTAAACCCTAAACCCTAAACCCTAAACCCTAAACCCTAAACCCTAAACCCTAAACCCTAAACCCTAAACCCTAAACCCTAAACCCTAAACCCTAACCTAAACCCTAAACCCTAAACCCTAAACCCTAAACCCTAAACCCTAAACCCTAAACCCTAAACCCTAAACCCTAAACCCTAAACCCTAAACCCTAAACCCATACCCTAAACCCCAAACCCTAAACCCTACACCCTGATACCCTAATACCCAAAGACCCAAACCTCCCGTAATGCCCTGGTACCCTACACCCTAAACTCTTAAAGGATTTAGGAGGCTTTAGGGGTTTAAGCTCCGCCAGCAGCTTTTTCAGCCTAGGGGTTGCGAGGGCAGTGTGGCTTGGTTGCCCAATATTATCTAGGGTTTAGGCTTTGGGGTTTAGGGTTAATTAGACAAACTACCCGTAGGCCCCGATGAAGTATGCAGCCATACGTGTGCAAAGCCTTGGTCGGTGCTTCTTCCTCAAACTGGTGGTCGACATAAATTGTACCCGGGCTCCAGAGAGCCCAATACGTAGGGAATATACCTTAAATTATATAGGGATCGTTCATATGATTTAAGTTATGTTCCTTATCTAAAGCAGGTATTGAGCTCTTTGGCCCTAGTTTGCCTTTTCAAGCGTGGTTTAGGGCTTGGGAAGCATCGGCAACTCATCTTATACCATGACACAGTCTTATTACACCCTAAGCTTGAAGTCCTAACCTAAAAACTCTTAAACCCTAAGCCCTGCACCCTAGATACCTGAGACCCTTAAGCCCTAACAACCC